GTTGCCCTTTTAGGCGAATTGCTGGAACTCTGTGGTTGCTTCTTGGGGAAAGTCTTGGAACAAGAGGAAGCACAAAAGGGTTGCCCTTTGGAGGAAGCATTGGAACCCTGGGGTTGCCCCTTTAAGGGAAATGCTGGAACTTGGAGGTTGCTTCTTAGGGAAACTCCTGGAACAAAAGGTTTGCCCTTTGAAGGAAGCACTGGGTTCCTGGGGTTGCCTTTTTAGGGGAATTTCTGGAACTGTGAGGTTGCTTCTTGGGGAAATTCTTGGAATAAAATGGTTGCCCTTTGGAGGAAGCACTGGAACTCTGGGATTACACTTTGGGGACGTTCTGGAACCCTGGGGTTGCTCTTTGAAGGATGCAGTGGAACCCTGGGGTTGTCCTTTTGGTATTACTATGGAATACTAATGCACTTGTGTTTATACATTGTGTCTGGATTCTGAGTTGGCAGCTATACAAAAAAAAGACTCCCAGTTTCTTTGGTTTGTATGCAAATAAATAGATCTGATGCAAATAAATAGATCTGAGAGTAAATTGCCAAACCACAAATGAATAGCTTAGATACAAGTGTATTCCAGTATAAAATCAGGTGGAAGACCAAGAAAATATATCAATGCATTTTGGGGGCCAAAACGTACCCCTTTCATCAGGGCTTAAGGATAGGAAACTATACTATACTAAATTGAGAACACAATACGGTTGATTTACTAAAACTGGAGTGTGCAAAATCTGGTGCAGCTCCAGTTTCCAATCAGCTTCCATTTTTTTTTGTGTCAAAGCTCAATTGAACAGACTGCCATTGGAAGCTGATTGGCTGTCATGCACGGCTGCATCAGATTTGGCACTCTCCAGTTTTAGTAAATCAACCCCAACTAAAGGCAAATAGATTGTGCACTTTCCAAATGTGGTTGCTCCAAAGCTTAATAAATGAGAGGAAGCTTCACAGTGTTCATCAGCAGCTGGCTTGATGCTTGTGTAGGTGACACCTAATGCGGAATAAATTCCTGTCCCCTGAGTCTATCCAAAACTAAGCTGAAAAAACATAATTTAGCAATATATCATGGGAGGAGGTCACCCCTCCCCCAAAGCACCTTGTCCCCATGTTGATGGGGACAAGGGCCTCTTCCCCACAACCATGGCTGTTGGTTGTGGAGGTTTGCAGGCGGGGGGCTTATCGGACTCTGGAAGCCCCCTTTAACAAGGGGGACCCCCCGACATGTGAATGAGTATGGGGTACATGGTGCCGCTACTCATAAAAAGAAAAGTGTAGTGTAAAAAATTACATAGGACAGTCTTTGATAAGTCCGTTATTAAAAACAAAAACAAACAAAAAATGTCCCCCGAAGTAGATCCAACATCAATCACAATGCCCGCTGCCACTGCCGACCAAAAAACAGGAAAAAAAAAACCGCTCCGTTCTTGACGCTGGCTCCCGATGTCTGACAGCTGCGCCGGCCTGACAGATCTTAAATACTGTGATGACATCACAAGGGGGGCAGGGTCACTGACTGACATCATCGGGTGACCCTTTAACCTTGTGACGTCATCATGCGCTGTGATTGGCCAACGCATTGCACCTAACCTGTGGTCAGGTGCAGTGGCATCTCTAGGGCGGTGCGGTCCGCACCGGGTGATACCATCACAGGGAGTGCAGGAGCAGGATGCCAGCAGAGTTTCTGGGCTCTGTGAAGGTCCTGGCCAGTTATTGGGGTGATCCCGGATTCCCGGCACAGTGACAGCTGCCCCCGGTGTAGTGGTAAAATGAGTATCCCATGAAGATATGTATCCCCTGAAGCAACTGCGCATGCACCGGTTTCAGGCTGAAGAAGCCAATCACCGATCTTCGACTTTAGCACAGAGCTTCCACAGTTAACACCGTAAAGGCTGCAAACTGCTGAAACTGATCCAGCGGATCACTATGGGTTGCAAGATCAGTTAATCCAGTATAGGTTCAGTCTATATGGGGTTAACTGATCTTACAACTCATAGTGATCTGCGGTTTGCAACCTGTAAGGGGTTAACTGTGGCAGCTCTGTGCTAAAGTCGGAAATCAGCTTCTTTGGCCTGAAATGGCACATGCGCAGTTGCTATAGGGGATACATATCTTCACGGGTCGGGATACTTATTTTACCGCTAGACCGGCACCACTCCTTCCTCTCTGGAGGGGTGACACCACGTGCTACCGCACCGGATGACACAAACCCTAGGGACGCCTCTGGTCAGGGCCATTCACAATGCACTGTCAGTGCATTGTAGGGGCGCATTTGGCAAACAGCCCGACTAATGCCTTTTTTATTATTATTATTATTATTATTATTATACAGGATTTATATGGCGCCAACAGTTTGCTCAGCACTTTACAATATAACGGGAGACAATACAGCAACAATACAGTTCAATACAAGAGGGTTAGGAGGGCCCTGCTCCTAGGAACTTACAATCTAGGACAATCTGTTCGAGTGTTCGGCCAATGTTTGAGTCGAACTTATGTTCCTAACCTCGGAAACCACTAAGCAACTCATTAATTCCCTTATTTTATCATGCCTTGACTACTGTAACTCCCTCCTCATTGGCCTACCTCATCGCAGGCTATCCCCACTTCAGTCCATCATGGACGCTGCTGCCAGACTCATTCACCTTACTAACCATTCTGTATGAGCCACCCTTCTCTGCCAATCCCTCCACTGGCCTCCACTCAGTGTCCTCCACCCCTCTCTGCCAATCCCTCCACTGGTCTCCACTCAGTGTTCTCCACCCCTCTCTGCCAATCCCTCCACTAGCCTCCACTCAGTGTCCTCCACCCCTCTCTGCCAATCCCTCCACTGGCCTCCACTTAGTGTCCTCCACCCCTCTCTGCCAATCCCTCCACTGGCTCCCAATTGCCCAACGGATAAAATTCAAAACACTAACACTGATGTATTAAGCCATTCATAACTCCGCCCCAAATTACATCACCAATCTTGTCTCTAAATATCACCCAAACCGTACTCTCCGCTCCTCGAAAGACCTCCTGCTCTCTAGCTCCCTTGTCTCCTCCTCCCATGGTCGTCTCCAGGACTTCTCCAGTGCTTCCCCCATCCTCTGGAACTCCCTACCCCAATCTATCAGACTATCGCCTACTCTGCTCACTTTTAGGCGCACTCTGAAAACCCATCTCTTCAGGGAAGCCTACCCCGACCCCCAGCTAATACTGGAATCCTCTACTCTTCCAACCACTCCATCCCCCACAGTTATTTACTACCTTTTGTACCACTATCCCCTCCCTCCTAGATTGTAAGCTCCAAGGAGCAGGGCCCTCCTATCCCTCTTGTATTGAACTGTATTGTTACTGTACTGTCTCCCTCCATAATGTAAAGTGCTGAGCAAAGGGTCAGACTATACAACTAATGGGGCGGCACAGTGCAATAGTGGTTAGCACGTCTGATCATAAATGGGCCCCTGGGTTTGATTCCTGCCCAAACTCTGCAAAGAGCCTATGAAAATGTTCTACCAGTGCTTGCATCTCATCCGGTTTCCCCCCTACTGACCCTGGTAGGTTAATTGGATCCTGCAGTGTCCCGAGATTCCAAATAGGGTCAGATTGTACACCACTTGAGGGTTGGCATGTGATGCAAACTGCCTGACCGCTATATAAGTCCTAAATAATAATAATGTTCGATTCGAACGTCAAGCCCAACCCTAATTTCTACCCAAAATGATTCCTACTGTTCCTTTTTAACTGTACATAATGTTTTCCAGGGTAGGAACGGGTGTGAGTTCAGTGTACAGTGCCAGATATATCAATAAATACTGCATTTGATTGTAGTTACTTAGGCATCAACCTGTTTAATTAGCGAAAAGAGGTTTGCAGCATAGATGTCGCTATCAAATTAGGGATTTTTTTTTCTTCTTTTACTGTAACGTCTGTCAGTAAAGTGTTGTTCAATCTCTTCCTCTAGCTGTTAGCGCTATATATCCTTAATTGACGGAGTGAAGGCGCTGATACGATTAGCATCCCGTGTTAGCAGTCATAACCTCTAAAGAGCATAACAGATGTTCTCAGTCTCAAGGACTTCAGGGCATTTATCACAGAATCCAGGTTGCAGATTTAGAAGAGGAGAAAAAAAAAAAGAAAATCAACCGCATTCGTTGGTGAAAAAAAAAAACAGTCTCATTATAATTAGAGGCGTTTTGTACATAGTTGGCTAAGATTTGCAAACTGAGGGATTGGGGGCGGTAAAACAAAATCCATGTCGAGTGTTTTTCCTCTTTCTTAAGAGTTTCTGTCTCATGCGCTTGCTTGTTGTAGCCAGGGGCGGACTGACCATATGGAAACTCGGGCACTGCCTGAGGGCCCGGGGTCAGTAGGGGACCCCATGAGATGCCCCTGGTACCTTCTTCATAGGCTTTTTTGAGTTTGGGCAAGGACACAGGGGCCCCATGATCCCCTATTGCCTGGGGGCCCCATGAGTTTTCAGTCACCCCTGGTTGTAGCTATCTTACAGCCAATAAAGGTTGCAGGCCACCTTCAGATCCATGCATGATGGGGATGCGAGATTTATTTATTTATATCAGGTACTTAGCCCTGGTTCACATCTGTGCGGCTGTGTGGGCCGCGTTTTGCGTGGGCAGGAGAGCCCATTCATTTGAATGGACTCCCGTGCCCCGTGACACACAGAGAAGAAGTCCCTGCACTTCTTCTGAAAATGCAGCCCGCATGGGAACCTCGGTTCCCAGTACGGTAGCTTTTTCCACTGCGGGTGGAGTGCCATTAGAGCTGATGGCACTCTGCCCGCGGGTCCGCATTTCTCTGTGCGGGTGGTGCGGCTGCACAGATTTTAGTGTGGATCCGCAGCGGCACACACCCGCACAGATGTGAACCTAGCGTTCTATAGCGCTGCCAATTTACGCAGCGCTCTATATACTGTAAATATATCAGGGATGGACTGACTAATTAGGCACTCAGGCACTGCCTGATGGCCCGGGGTCAGTAGGGGGGCCCCATGAGATGCCCCGGTACCTTTCATAGGCTTTTTTGGGTGTGGGTTGAGTGTGAGCAAGGACACAGGGGCCCCATGATTTCCTATTGCCCAGGGGCCCCATGAGTTGTCAGTCCGCCCCTGATATATATATATATATATATATATATATATATATATATTACATTCACATCAGTCCCTAACCCTCAAGTGGTGTACAATCTATGGTCCCTAACTTACATTCATACATACATATACAGTTGTGTCCAAAATTATTCAACCCCCACTGAAATTGAGTGTTTTGGCCAGTTTGACATTGCTTTTGATCATTCAGTCATCTTGCTTACATTTACATTAAAGAGGCACTTGTAGGTCAGACAAATATAACATAACAGTTATAATGAAATAACCACAAATGTCTTTTCTGTGCTCACAGCATTATCAGTTTTATTCAACCCCCAAGTGACATTCAATCTTAGTACTTAGTACAGCATCCTTTTACAGTTATAACAGCTTTTAAACGTGAAGCATAGCTTGACACAAGTGTCTTGCAGCGATCTACGGGTATCTTCGCCCATTCTTCATGGGCAAAGGCCTCCAGTTCAGTCACATTCTTAGGCTTGCGCACTGCAACTGCTTTCTTTAAGTCCCACCAGAGGTTCTCAATCGGATTTAAGTCTGGTGACTGCGATGGCCACTCCAAAATGTTCCAGCCTTTCCTCTGCAACCATGCTCTAGTGGACTTGGAGGTATGCTTGGGATCATTGTCCTGTTGAAAGGTCCAACGTCTCCCAAGCCTCAGGTGTGTGACGGACTGCATCACGTTTCCATCCAATATCTCCTGGTACTGAAGAGAATTCATGGTACCTTGCACACGCTGAAGCTTCCCTGTACCTGCAGAAGCAAAACAGCCCCAAAGCATGATTGACCCTCCACCATGCTTCACAGTAGGCAAGGTGTTCTTTTCATCATAGGCCTTGTTCTTCCTCCTCCAAACATAGCGTTGATCCATGGGCCCAAACAGTTCTAATTTTGTTTCATCAGTCCACAGAACACTATCCCACAACTTTTGTGGTTTGTCCACATGGCTTTTGGCATACTGCAGTCGACTCTTCTTATTCTTTGGAGACAGCAAGGGGGTACGCCTGGGAGTTCTGGCACGGAGGCCTTCATTACGCAGTGTGCGTCTTATTGTCTGGGCTGAAACTTCTGTACCCACATCTGACAAATCTTTTCTCAGTTCCTCAGCAGTCACACGGGACTTCTTCTCTCCACTCTACGCTTCAGGTAGCGCACAGCAGTCGAAGTCAGCATCTTCTTTCTGCCACGACCAGGTAGCGTTTCAACAGTGCCCTTTGCCTTGAATTTGCGAATGATGCTTCCTAAGGTGTCTCTTGGTATGTTTAACATCTTTGCAATCTTCTTATAGCCATTGCCCTTCCTGTGAAGAGAAATCACCTCTTCTCTTGTCTTCCTGGACCATTCTCTTGCCTTCACCATGTTTGTAACCACACCAGTAAATGTCTAGAAGGAGCTGAGTATCACAGTCATTTTAAAGCTGCCTAATTGGTGCTTATTATGCTTGATTGCTGCTCGGTGACATCCACAGGTGTTTTCAATACCTGATGGAAAGCACCTGTATGAACCTCTGTTCTTCAGAGTGGTAGTCTTTAAGGGGTTGAATAATTGTGGCAATGAAGAAACCACATAAGAACCATTTACTACTGTATTACATAAACAATTGATGTCATTTTAGTTGCATTTGGGTAGTTACAACGTCCTTGTAGGATTTGATTCTGAATACAATTCCAAATGTACACTATAGTCCCTAAACCCCTTTACAGCATTGGGGTTGAATAATTTTGGACACAACTGTACTAGGGCCAATTTAGACAGGACCTAATTAACCTATCAGCATGTCTTTGTAGTGTGGGAGGAAACCGAAGTACCCGGAGGAAACCCACGCAGGCACAGGGAGAACATGCAAACTCCAGGCAGGTGGTGCCGTGGTTGGGATTTGAACCAACGACCCTAGTACTGCTAGGTGGAAGTGCTAACCAGTGGCGGACTGACCATTTGAGCACTCGGGCACTGCCCAAGGGCCTGGGGTCAGTAGGGGGCCCCATGGGATGCCCCTGGTACCTTTCATTGGCTTTTTCATAGGCTTTTATGGATGTGGGTGAGTACACAGGGGCCCCATGATCCCTTATTGCCGGGGGCCCCATGAGTTGTCAGTCCGCCCCTGGTGCTAACCATTTAGCCACTGTGCTGCCCAGATAAAAACCAGGGCTCTTTTTTAGCAGGAACCTCAGTGAGCACAGTTCCGACACCTCCAACACTGAATAATGACAAGGATTGCTAGGGTGTGCTGGGAAGTCCATCGATTCTGGATGAGATCAATTGTTCCTGGGGGATTATTATTGAGGGTGGGATCTATTGTTGCTGGGGGGGGGGGCAGTAATGTTGCTGGTGGGTCAGTTGTTGTTGGTAGGGATCTTCTGTTGGGTATGTTGTTGCTGGAGAGTTATTGTTGCTGGTGGGGATCTATTGCTCTGGGGGTGCAGTGGTGTTGCTAGGGGGGTGCAGACTGCACCCAGGTGACATCCATCAGAAAGTGACACTAACTGCATTACATACCCCCAGGGTATCCATGGTGATAATGACAGGGTATGCAGGAAGTTCATAACGGATGGGCACCACTGATTGGCGGAGGCGGTTGGCAGTGAAGAAGAAGTGGTGGGCGGGTCCAGGAGTTTGTCTTCCGCTTCCGTGTGTGAGGAATGTGGCAGGCCAGAGATGGAGTGGTCCCAGGAGGACACCAAGAGCAAAACGAGTTGAATGGGGGGGGAGGAGAACCAGGGGCGGACTGACCATTTGGAAACTTGGGCACTGCCCGAGGGCCCGGGGTCAGTAGGGGACCCCATGAGATGCCCCTGGTACCTTTTTCATAGGCTTTTTTGAGTTTGGGAAAGGACACAGGGGCCCCATGATCCCCTATTGCCCGGGGGCCCCATGAGTTGTCAGTCCGGCCCTGAGGGGAACTGCACACCAAATATCCCTGGGTGGAGAGGTGACGCCATTGCTGGGGTATATTTGTTGTTGCTGGGGAGGGGGTATTTTGTTGCATTGGGTCTATTATCACCGGGGGGATTTATTGTTGCTAGAGGGATCTAATATTTCTGATGGAGTCAGTGGTTTCTGGGAGGGATCTACTGTTGCTGGCTGCGGAAGGCTCTATTAATGCTGACTGCTGATAGATCTATTGTTGCGGGTGGGGTCTATTTATGAGGTGGATCTTTTGTCTCTGCAAGATATCTTATTGCAGTGGGTCTATTGTTACTGGGGGGGGGTATATTTTTGCAAGAGGGATCTATTGTTGCTGGGGGACCTACTGTTGTTGGGGAGGTATATCATTGCTGGTTGCAGAGGATGTATTTTACTGCTTTTATTGTTATAGTTAACAAATTCCATAGCACCACAACAGGATACTTGGTTTTGTTTCCTCTAAAATGGGCGGTGCTGACAGGCGGGTAGGGGGTGGAGCCAAGTAATATTGGGTAGATGGTAGAGACGAGGAGTGACTCAGAAGGGGAGGGTACCCGCAATGATTCTCTGGGATACAAAGCCCTGGATAAAACACCTAGTATTGTACGGCACTTTCTGCAGTGTGTTATGGTGTCACTCCTGCAAGCGCTCTCTAATATGCTGCGGTGTCACTCCTGCAAGCGCTCTCTAATGTGCTGCGGCTATTCATGCACATTGTGTGAGAAGCTCACAGTGTGCAGTGAAATTAGGAGATGAGCTTGTACCAGGCGCGGACTGACCATTTGGAAACTCGCGCATTGCCCGAGGGCCCGGGGTCAGTAGGGGGCCCCATGAGATGCCCCTGGTACCTTTTTCATAGGCTTTTTTGAGTTTGGGCAAGGACACAGAGGCCCCATGATCCCCTATTGCCCGGGGGTCCCATGAGTTGTCAGTCCGCCCCTGGCCTGTACAACTATTTCAGGTAAGACTGGGGTTCCTCTTTAAATAAAACTTTGTACGTAGAACAGTATTGCGACATTGCGGCAAGGGTACGACGCCCTCCTCTTTCACCCTCTCATATTTCCATTCTGTCAGAAGAAGGGTGCGGTAACAAATAAGTAAATTTATGGTAATGTTGCCGTGAGACATTGGAGAGGTTATTAATAATAATACGGGTACTATGTAAATCGCTTGTTCCAGGTAAGGGACACCTGCCGTCTGCCGCTGTTCTCGCTGCAGTGTGACCGGCTTTTATCTTAAAAGAACACATTAAAAAGGGAAAGAAAATAATGGCGTGATTTTAATTCCTAGAAACCCCCCCCCCCCCCGCTGGGCTGACGTTGTAAGAAGAGGAGGCTCATGGAAAGTTACATTGTAGTGGAAAATGTAACTATGGCCAACCGCCGATCAGTGAGAAGGGAAGGGCCCCGGACAGGAAGGGAGCTGTCATCACCGGCCTTAAAACTGCTCTTATCTGGCCAAAGGATTTATAATTCTATCTGGTCACGTTATGATATATTTATGTTTGCAAACAATACCGCCATGAAGGTGACGCTACTTTCTTCCTGGTTTATGATGAACAAAATATGAAGCTGCTCTTTTTTTTTTTTTCTTTATTAGACGGTGCATTTTTGGGGGAAGCTTTTAGAATTGTTGAGTTGACTCTCAGGACTTGTTCTAAGCTAAAGTTCACCCCAAACCTATGGGAATGTGTCCTTTGAGAGCAGGTTGTGGGCCAAATCAGCTGCAGGCATGAAGGTCCTTGCCCAGCAGCTGCACGTAACAAAGAGATTGTAATGTTCACGACATCATTGGCCTAACATGGCCATGTGACTATGTTAGGTCAAGATGTTACCAGCATCCCTACCCCATGGCCACACCTAACAAAGAGATGGTAATGCTGACAACATTATTGACCTAACATGGCCATGTGACTATCTTAGGTCAATGATGCTACCGGCATCCCTACCCCATGGCCACACCTAAGAAAGAGATGGTAATGCTGACAACATTAATGACCTAACATGGCCATGTGACTATCTTAGGTCAATGATGCTACCAGCATCCCTACCCCATGGCCACACCTAACAAAGAGATGGT